CATAAAATAAATTGGAAAAAGGGGGAGAAATGTCTGGTAGCATGTCAGGTACCTGCGCTCTTTTACAAATTCTCTTTATATAAAAAAAAAGGTTTCATACAGTCTTACTATACTTCTTTCACCTTCACACTAATTCTACATGTCAGATTTTAGTTTCTACATTACAGTCACACTCACATCCTACAAATATTCACTCACATCTCTCATTCACTTCTATTAGAGCTCGCTCGTTTGTTCAACTTTGACCATGTGAACGTGCACATTTGGCCAATAGCAACTCTGATGCACTGGAGAAGTTAGTATTCTAGCATGTTGCATCACTGTGTTTACTACAACATCACTCAACCAGACTACAGACTGTAATGCTGGTGTAACGCACAGTATGAAATTTGAAAGGACGGCTAATTGGACCGCTTCAAAATCTCAGTTAAACCAGTTAGTACAGGGAACAACAAAGTATTTGTTCGAGACAGTGTTTTTGCACACAAAGATGTCATCGGGTTATTCCACGTTAAAGGTCCACGGTGTATCGTGGAATCTAGTGATGTAATTGCAGATCGCTTCACCCTCCCTCCCCACGCGCGCAGGATACACTCCCTTCCGCGGCACGGACAAACTAACAGCTTTCCTCTGCAGATGAGCCAGAGTCGGATCCTGGGCGTAAATAAGATCCAATTTTTGAGATTCAAGATGAGCATTTATTTTCTTGTCAGTACTCTCGTGATTTCTGTCATGGTCAGAAAAAACTATTTCTCTATTATAGAATTTTCTCTCATTTGGAGAGATGAAAGAGAGAGATGAAAACTAAGTATTTCAAAAAGGATTTTCTCTTAATCTGGTACTGTCCTTGCAAAAGTACAAGTGGTCTTTTTAGGTCCTGGAGACAGGAAGAATGTTAGCACACACTGAATAGCCACTGTACATGAGAGAGGCTGAAAGTATCAGGTGCTATAGCAGTTATGGGAAACGGCATCCTTTTACATCTGCTTTCATCTAACAAACCCCACCTCGCTTCCTGCTTTTAGGGTCAAATAGCCACATCCATGTTCAATGCATGTTTGTCACATTCATAACTTTTATAAACTACAGCAGTTCTTAACTCCGCTGAATTTTTCACAGCAAGACATTTCCTCCTAACTGAGTGACAATCTGGCACGGAGCTGGAAATAAAAACTCTGCCACACTTTTAAAACCGTATTCTATCCTATTTCATCTACGCAACCAGCATTCATGCTGTCAGCTACCATAACGTTTCCACATCGTTTATTCTTCCACTTTACCTTACATTTTATTTCTGAAATGGAGGTACAGCACGAACTTTTCAAACCCTTAGAAAACATGAATATTTCTAAACAAAAATGGAAACTTTTTAACCCGCACGGACATACAGTACACATAAATGTTCTTTTCTTCTTTCTTTCGCTTTTTTTTTGTTTCCAAACATTAAGTATTGTACTTCTAGTGAATTATACTGTCTTACACTCTCTTCTCTTCCTCTCTATGCTCTTTTACTGCTGAAGACACACACACGCACACACAGGGTCGTCTCAGTGTGAAATCTCTCTCTGGTCTCTCTCAGCTCCATTCATGCATGTCCTGCTCCTCCATGCTAAAGCAAGCATGAGGACAGCCTACTGCTGGCTATGACAGCCACACACGCAGTGTAGGCATGTATTGTACTGACCAACACACACACACACACACACACACAATTTGGAAAATATATAGTGTATGCTACAGAACAGCTACAATACATGCAGCTTTTAAAGCTTTGGTAGTCAGTCTGACAATTGGTCCACGACTTTGGTCAAAAATAAAATCTCAACGACTACTGGAAGGATTAAGATGAACTTTTACACAGACATTCATGCCCCCCAGAGGATAAATCCTACTGACTTTAGTGAGTCCCTGATTTTTTGTCTTCTAGCACCACAAGGTTTCCATTTGTGATTTTGAGTGAAATGTCGCAACAGTCGGATGGATTGCCATGACATTCGGTAAAGGCATTAAAGTCCCCCACAGGATTAATTGTGATATATGCGATATCTTCTGGCTTTTCATATAGCGCCATCATCAGACCAAAGTTTGTTTAGCACTTAGATTTATGATGAAATACCTGCAAAACGAATGCCTTAGCTGTAGTTTGTGTTTCGTGCTAATTAGCACATGTAACATGCAAGACTAACATGTGTTAGAATTTAACTCAAAGTGCAAAGCAGAGTTGCTAGCATGGAGGAGACTAGACTAAACTAACACAGTTTTAACGGGGAATTGAACTTTCTACACTTTGTTCCATCTCCTGCTGTGAACAGGGTCGTCTGATGGTGAGGGCTGCTGCCTCCGCTAAAAGAAAGTGAGAGAAGAAAAGAGAGTGACACGCAAAAGAGCTGCTCATTATACTGCGGAACTCAGGATAATTAAAAATAATAAATGGTAGTTTTGTCATGTACATTTTGTGATTTTTCTTTTTGTATTATGGCTATATATAATTGAATGCCCCCCTTATATTGAATAGCCAGCTTAATTACATTAATATATTTTTAATAAACATCTTACAAGACGTTGAAGTGTCCCCCGTGTCACTCTTTAGCTGTCACTATCGATTAAAGGCAAAAAGTAATGAGGCCTACATTTCTATTTCTTACAGACATTTACTGATAAACTTTTTGTAGATGTCAGATCATCAAATAGAATCACTTTTCTAAACTCCAGTATAACTGTAATGAACTCGCAGGTGCCACCTGCTGTAACAGTGCATGCACACACACACGCACGCACACACACACACACACACACACACACAGAGTATATAAACACAGCAGCAGGAGAGTTAGTGAGCCATGCAGTCAGGACTCTGTGTTTGTGTAAACAGCAGGAGTCTGTAACAACAAGACATCCCAACAATAAGGGCTTCCCATGTCACAGAATGAGAGACTGAGAGAGATCATCACTGTGCTGTATGTGTAAGTCAGTGGAGTGTGACTGCATCGTTTCCTTACATGCTGTGTGTCTGTGTGTACACTTTGTGTGTGTGTTAAGCGTGCATGTGTTTGTGTTAAATGCAGAGCTCAACTATAAACAATCATTCTTCCTGTAGTAGAATCACGTCATAAACTATTTTAACTACAACTATTTTGATAATTGATTAATTACTCAGGTAATATCTAAAGGAAAAACAGCATCCACCACTCCAGCTTCTCAAATGTGAACTTTTTGGTCAAAACAAGCAATAATAAAATGGTGCCCTGGGCTTTAGAAACTTGTGACCAACGCTTTGCGATTAGTCAATTAATCGCGAAGATAATCCACTAATTATTCGATAATGAAAAAAATTGTTTGTTGCAGCCCTAACTGAATTACTGTAAATTAGTTATCTGGAAAATTGGATTTGGCTATACATTATAATGTAAGGCTATTACAATAATCTATAATGATTAAATTCAAATTTAGATATATGAGAAATTTGATATAAAATTTGGTGGTTTTCTTACCTACTTTCCCCCTCGTCATGCCGCTGACTCCTGCGCCAGATAAATGGTAATTAATTTTTAATTTTCATCATTGTACCTATTTATAGTGGTTTGTTAACAAATTAAAGAAACTGTTCAGGTTGTATAGGTCCGTTTTATACCATTAATTAGCTGCATTAATGTTATAAAGAAATATGGGATTTTATATTAAACTACCATGTTGATAACAGTTTAAAATACAGCAACATTGAAACCTTTGTTAAGTTAGTATTTATTGCAGGACTAATGTATTAGACTGTATTACAGCAGCTTTTGTTCCTTTTGTTTTGTCTTTGATCATGTGTATGTATCAGTGTTTGGTGTGTTACCTTCCACATTCTCAGCTGGAGGGTGAGAGCGAAGTCTCCTGGAGTGAGAGGACAGCCCGCAGCAGGGATGCGCTCTGCAGGGCTCTGTTACATGTCATACTGTGTGTGTGTCTGTGTGTGTGTGTATGTGAAGACTAACACACAACTGATGTGTTTGTGTTTCTATACATACATTATATAAGTGGTCTCTTTCCTCAGGGTATTCGACAGTGTTGCGGTTTTTCTTTTCAAAAAAGTCTGAAAGGTGGAGTACACTGTTGGATTTTTACTAACAGAGATAAAAGAACATGCAACACAGTGCATCTGCACACAGAGATAACCACGAACACCATGACTGGTCTTTGTTTTCTTGCTTTAACTCTGAGGTTAACTGAGGTATCGTTCACCAAGGCCACATGGGTCTTGAATCTGACAGCCCTACACCCTCAAACTAGAATACTAAACAACCTTTAGAAGAAGAATTATCATGCATCCCAAGCATTTAGGTTTTATCTGGGTAGAGCAGAAGTGTAAATGTGTGAAGATGAACTACTGCTGTATCACCAAACTTCATCAGGAGGAGAGTCACATTTAGCCAATTACACCTTTTCTGCAACCATGAACTGGCTTACAACCTTTACTAGCCTTTGAGGATTAATTCAGATGGATGATGTCCTGTAATAACATTTTTCAATCAGACTTTAAGTTGTCAGTCACAAGCTCTTCGTGCACTTGTGTTTCAGGAGATGAAGAGTACATTCTAGAGGGCTATAACACAATCAAACACAATCAATGAGTCTATCTTTCATGTGTGGAAACGTCTTCAGGCCTTGAATTCAAGTCCAATGTAGTTTTTTCTCTGCTGTTTTTCTTATTCTTCTTTACATCCAAATGTCAAACACGTGTACAGTCTTGTAAAGCTAAAATTTGATTTCCATCAGCTGAGTTGTAGAAAATAAAACTATTTCCTAAAATGTCAACAAATATTCTGAAAAACTTCAATAACTGATTAGTATGGCTCTTTTTTCCCACTATATTTATATGACTTGAATGTTTTTTGTATGCTACTTTCTCACTCAAAACCACCTGAAAGGAAGAAGTTCCCCAGGCTCAGTGACACTTTCCATCTTAATCAAGCTTAAATTGAATAAATCAACTAAATCCCTTCTGTGTCTCCCTGCAGAGAAAACCCAGAAGGGAGAAAAGAGGAAGCAGAATGGAGTGAAGGAGAAAGGGAAGGAGAGGAGGAAGAGTAGTCCTGAGAAGAAAAAGGAGAGATTGAAGTCAGAGAACGGCTCCCTGCTAAAAGAGCTAGGTACATTGTGTGTTTGTGTGTGTGTGTGTGCGTGGGTGGGTGTACGCCCTGCAGTGTTTGCAAACTGATCAAATGCACCTCATTGGCTGAACGTATGCCACATATGTGTGTGTGTTTGTGTGTCCATATGAAAGATCCTGCTGACAAAAAGCTTGCAGCACATTTGTACACTTGATGCACCAATAATTTATTTGCAGCAGCGTTTTGCTTTACAAAAGGGCAAAATGCAATAACAACACAAGCAAGACATTATAAAGGTTGGAAATCTCTAATATTGTTTCAGTTTCAGCTGATAAAGACTTTACATGTGGAAACTCTTCAATAAATTATTGATGCATCAAGAGTGCTGCAACCTTTGACAAAAAAAAACTGTTATATTCTGCTGTGGTCAGCATGTGGTCCATGCTTGGTGTGTTACCTTTTCCTTTTTTCACAGATTTCATGCCTCCATCATCAGTGTTGTCATACCTTTTCTGTGTGTTGCTCTGTGTGGATCAAGTGTCAGATGCAACGATAAAATCTTTAATAGGAGTTGACTGCAGCTTAGCCCAGCAGGTCTGATCTGATGCATCAATCTGGCAGTGTAACATCACTCAGAGAGACAGAGAGGCAAACAAAGTGATAGACAGAGATGAAGCAAGACTGGATATTATAAAAATGTCATCCCTGTAAATTATGCAGACCTCCTCTCAGCTTTCCTGTAATAACTAAATCACCTTGCTTTAGCCTGTAGGACCGCCAAACGTCCTCCTGAGAGGTACAGCATGAGTTAGAAGCATCCTGGGAACTGAGCTGTAGTCCACTAGTTGAGAGACTAACCTATAAACCATCCTATAAAGAGCAAGATTAAAAAATGGTCATTGAATCAAAATTACCAAAGATGATACAGGGATGAGCAAGTCATTTATTAACTAAAAATGTCAAACATAGGGTGAGTCCCACTTGTCCACTAAGAAGAGTGCAGTTTTTTCTGTTTTATGTGTATGTAAACTGAATCCCTTTTGGGAATTTCAAAATGTCACCTTGTTGTCTACTGGAGGAACTGGAGGGATATGTCTTTATTTTCTGGCATTTATAGACTTAACACTTATTTGGCCTTTAAAAAAAAAGGTAAATGATCAATCTAAAAGAAAAACAATCATCTGGGGCTTCCCTGATTTCAAAAACCTTTCAACAGTGGCTGTGGAGATTGTTAAAAGTGAAGACAACATGAAGAATGTTGAGAAGAGGATCAGTTATCTCATTTTCAGTAACACATCTTGCAAAGCCATTTCCACTACAAAGCTTCTGCTCACAGTAACCCCGCTCTCTATGAAAGACCGATGGACAAAGCAGGGAATAATGTACACAGTTACTATGGGGATATATATAAGGAAAGCACAATACTGCCTGATCATGTACAATACATCTGTCTAGTCTTGCAGTAGTATCAATTGGAGAAATCTGACTATGATATGGTATTTTTGTAAAGTAAAGTTGCAAAATACCCCTTGTTTTGTCAAAATGGAAACAATTTAATCACTAATCCAAACTTTTATATGGGTAGAAGGGAGTGAAAGTTGGGGATAAGAGGAAGAGAAAACAGGGATAGACATGATGGTAAAACTGAAAAAAGAGAGAGAGAAGCTCTGTCAGCGTCAATATTTGTCATTAATGAGCGACTGGGAGAGAGACGCCGTTAGAATAAGGGAGAGAGGTCCTGTCACTGCCAATCCTCATCATTAGTGAGATGTGGATGGATGATAATGGTTGTCTGTCCTGTTAGAAGGTGATCCATTCCCCCACCACCTGTCATTACAGCTACGTATGATGCTCAGAAGACAGATAATAAATGGAAATTGAGCACGCCGATTATATGTATGTAGATATGTGTTCGTAACATTGACAATTTACAGGCATTTAGCTGACACTCATATCCACGGCGACTTGAAGTGAGCGAGCAGATAAAGACTCAGTGTGTCGCTCGAGGACACAAGATAGACTGTTGATGGAGACACACTGGCGGCTGTGGTGATTGAATCTGTAGCTTTTAAGTTGTCAAGACAAGCCACCTGCCTGACTGTTGGGGTGCAAATTAACATTTCAATGCTCAGACATCCTCATAGAAGTCAAACAGATACTGTACTCTGAAGCAGTTTGTCCATCACTAAGCAGTGAGAGAGGGTTATTTTTTACTTTCCACGCTGAACAGAAGTGACATGTTTGGCCCGGAGACGACTATTTCTTGTGGCTGAGAGCTCGAGTTTCTCAGGAAATAATCCAGGTTCATGTTAGCGAGGGTGGAAATGTGTTGACTGACGAGTCAAATCATGGATCCAGATGCCAAAGCTTCTCTATTCAGAAACATGGGAGTTTTAGATTTTAAATTGAATATCCATCCCCCCCGTTCATGTCCATCTGTCTACCTCTATATCTGTATTCATTGTGGTAGACAGTAGAAATTTGGCTCTCTTGGATGTGTCGGTAGCTCCCGTAATGTCATATTTCCTGACATCCTAAAAACATCCTCAGTTTATTTTTTCCAGATACAGCTGCTTCATGGGGCAGTAGAGCTGTGACAGTTTGATGAGATTTGGTGCTGTCCGTCGTAGCAGCGCTGTCATGATCAAACCGATTCCTGTCTTTAAGGTTATAGCTTTCATGCTTTTATTTTGGAAATGTTTCCCATCTAAATTACATAACCACTCGAAGCCCATAAAGTATTGTTATTCATTAACTGTTTAGACTCAGCTGCCTCCTACTTCCTTTATCATAAATTATACTTAAATCTGCTTACAACTACATTATAGTGTGTTATAATCCAGTTTATGTTTAGATACTCCTTATAAATGCTAAATAGGGGTACTTAAAGTTTATGACGGAAAAACCTACCAAGTAATGTTATTAAAGTTTTTATTGTATAAGGAAATAAATAATTAACATGCAAACAATAAAGGGGAAGAAACACTCAATTGGTGATATACTGTATGTTTGTGTGGGCGAATAAAATGGAAAACAAAGTCCTCCATATCTTCAGGCTTCCTCTAAAAAAAAGCTCCTCCGCTGTGAATAGCTTCTATATGTAGGACATGAAGTGGGTGGATTTGTAGCCTTGCATAATCCTTGTTTATATGTACCCAGATCTAATAAGTTATGAATATTCCTGCAATGACATTCTGTAAAAAGCTTTGGCTACACAGACAATTACTGTACATGATTAATATCTGAGAGCCTAAATGAATGACTAACTGTGTTCTGTAATATCATTTATTTATGTATTTAGGTACATCAAGTGAAAGCAGTTTACCTACATAATGGATAATTATGTTTTTTTTTATATGTATAGATCCTAAAAGGTATATTCTTTCTCAGTTACCCCACCCCCCTCTCCAAAGAGAGGTGAGAGGTCAAGTCCTGCAGCTTAATGAAGTGTGAATAGAAGGAATACATCAACATAAAAAACATTTGTATTCAAATACATTTACAGGACATATTGGCGCACTGACAGCAGTACTACAGCAACATGTAAAATGTGAGGAGCTCTGGTCCTTCCTGTGATCTCAGAAAATGAACATGACAGAACGTTGCTCAAAGCTAGAAAAAACACCCAACAAAGACTTCATGCTGTCATCAAAGGATGAAACCTGAAGCTGCTCTGTCGATAAAGAAATGGGCTTCTGCCTTTGTGGGATTATAGCGTTTTGGTAGGAATTATATACAGCCAAGCTTAACCTCACTCTATTGTTAACATTTTTGTAACATAAAATCCAGCCACGCGTCCGCAAAGATTCAGTTTCCACTTGTAGGAGTTTGGAGTTTTGGCTTTGGGTGTCAGCTGCAGAGTTTTGGGAAATATGCTTGTAAGTGGAAGGACTGTCAGTTTAAGTCTCCTGCATTGATGGGAAGTTGTTTGACGTTCCTGTTAGACCTGTATATTGATTTTATTCTGCAGTTTCAGAAAACTTAAAACAACTTTCCCCAAAAGGCAGTTCCACTTTTGAGCAACATAGGGTTAATTTTTGTAAATTTAGCCACCATTTGTATTGGCTGTTAGGAGTTGGAAATGTTCTCAAGGAAATAAATGTTAACTTTAAATATTTATAATACATCAGTGTCAGTCATTAAACATCTGATTTGGTCAAACTCTCGTGCATATACACAGTATAATATGCAGCATTTATACAATGTCCATTATATGTGCATTAGTATCTTACAGTACACTCAAGATACAAACCGGCAGAGATGTTTTGAGCTCTTCACCCACATACAGTGACTATCAGCAATGACGCAGGACTTTCTCTCATTTCCTTATTTAACCAGAGCTGAGGGTCGCCAAGCCAACAGTATTTTCCTGTCAAAGTGAATTTGATCAATAAACAGAGGGATGATAACACAGGACAGGAGAGTAGTTTGCCTCACTTGCTTCCTGTTCTGATATTATCTTCCTATCTTTTTCTATGTATCTCCTTTAGTTTTCCTCTGTTTTTCACTGTGAATCTGTCTCTTTTTTTACCCTCTCTTATACTGGCTCTGTGTTATAACACTCCCTCTTTCTGTTTATCTTTCCATCATCTCTCTTCCTCTCTTTTCCTGACTCGGTCTCTCCATCTGACTGATAAGGGATAAGGACTGCAACCTGATGTTGAATAGATGCTGGGAAATCATCCCTCAGATTGTGTTTCCATGACAAACAAGCCCTTCTGTGTATGTGGTGTACTCTTGTTGTGTGCAATCGTATCATCTGTCTGCATTTGTGTGTGCGTGCATGCATGCTTTCCTTTGCCAGTGTTATATATTTATATATATATATATCGTTCCTGTCTCAGTGTGTCATCTGTGTGTTTGTTTTTGCATGCCGTATGTGTTCATATCTCACAGTCTCAGTGTGTGTGTTTGTGTGTCATGCCATCTGTTCTCTGTCGGGTCTGGTCCTGACTCCCAGGGCTTTGTCTTCCTCTTAGTGTTCTGGGATCAAGAAGACAGATATGTACCAGAACTCCGTCTCAGATGTACTGTCCCTTATCCCCACTGTTTATTAGTGGGGCCCATATGCCAGTGGTGCTTTGGAAAAAGGGAGATTGTTTTGTAATCTTCCTGGTGTCACCCTCATAGGCACTGAGGAGTTTCATCCCTAAAACTGAGATCCATAACAAATTTCAGTCGGAATCCAGTGTAATCAGAGTGTTGTTAGACAAATACTGGAACCTTTTTTTAAACTACCCATTGTATAAATGAAATGCAACATAATTCTGAAAGTGTTACCGGCTGAGAGTTTATTCACTACAGTTACTGATTTCAGTGGATCGTCTAAGAGGAATGAGATTTTCTGAGCAGCCCTTGTGTTATTCCACTGTGAAAATGACAAACAATACTCAAGGACATTCTAGCAAGTTTATGCATATACAATCACACTGTGGTGGAAATAATACCTGTGAGAGAAGTTAACAAATCATCTGCACAGTAAATTTGGTCTGTGTCTAACCTCTAACCCAGACTACAATGAGAGAGGTCAAATCCAGGTGGAGGCTTTGTATAGGTACTGCAGATTTATGATGTAATATAATAAAAATAAATAGCACGTTTCAAAAAGAAATGTACTGTTCACATTACAGAGTAATCTAGCAGGCATCAAATTAAATACGTGCAAGCACACGCACATAGTGCTGCATTGAGGCGAAAGTTGATGCAGGTTCACGTCGCGTTTTTTGTGTGTGCGACTCCCTTTGTTCAACTTTTTTGTCTGATGGTGACAGTAAAAGCAAGAGAGCCTTGAGTTCTCACAATTGGTAAAAGTTTCCCTCACTCAGAGCACTACAAGTCTCGGCTGCGGTGCATTCTGGTGTTTTTCAGGCCGTTGTTACTGAGAGAAAAGGGATTTTTGTGTCCTGCATGGTGACTTTTTCTCTGTACTTTTATTGAATTTCGTGGAGAATAGCATCTCTCCACAGACGCTTGTGTTCTTTCATTCTGAATGAAAACACAACAGGCTCCAAACGTCATGGCTGCATCGTTGTGTGCATTATGTTGAAACGGAGCAAAGAAAATCTGAACATTTTACATTTCATTCAGGTAGTCAAAAAGATAATGGGACCAAATTACAGATTAGAATTGTGTGGGATCATTTTGACAATATGGTAAGAGACAGAAAAGTAAAATGTCTCTTTTGTTGTAGAGAATAACTCTGACAGGTTGATTTCAGTTGATTCATGCTGAGCTTTTTTACTCTGGTTGCCATTATGGTGTCCTATTCTGTAATTTCCCTCCTTGATTCAGGTATTTAGTTTTCTCTTTTTCTGCCTGCTGCATTTCTTGTCTCTCCTTCATCGCCCCTTGTGGGTCTTTTGATCGCTCTCTTGCGCCTCCTGCACATTTACTCGTCGTTTCGCTGTTTCCATCACTGTCTTTCTGCTGGAGTTTCCAGGCAGACTCAAGAACAATCATCAGACTGTAGTGAGGGTTTACCTCGTAACACACACACACACACACACACACACTCTCACATGCACAGGCCTGGTCTTGGCCCTGTCCTGCTGGTAGTGCATTCCTTACCCCGCACTGCCCTAGTAGCATTGGCTAGCGAATCATTTGCTGCTACAATATCAGCTGTTCTGTAATGCCATCCTGGGGCTTTTTGTTGCCGTAACACTAGCGTGCACTGGCACTGCTTCCCCAAACTGTTGTTGTCACGTAACACAGCCTTGTACAAGGGCTTTAGACGGCTTTAACGGCAGCAGCACCTTTTGATACATAGCATTAGCCTACAGTATCCCCATTTGTTCAACATGTTAGCTGTAGAAGGAGGAGGAGGAGGAGGAGGAGTCAGTGTCGTCATCTGATTTAAAAGATACAGCTCCACTATCAGTAGGAACTATTATTTGGTTCCTTCCGCATATTTAAGCCAGAAAGAAAGCGATCCATTGTTATTAATCACTATTAATTACAAACCCACCCTTGTCTTTTTTATGCATTCATGTACCTCTCATGATGAGTTGAAGTGATTTAGTGATCAATCAGTTAAAATTTCCCATCAGCCTCAGCTGTACTTTGTATTTAGTGCTAACTAGCAAATGTCAGAATGCTAACAAGCTGATCTAAGATTGTGAATATGGTACATGTTATATCTGCTAAACATCAGCCAGTCACTGTGAGCATGTTAGCATTGAACTGCTGTGTCTCAGTACAGCTTCAGAGAGCTGGTAGCATGGCTGTAGTCTTGTTGCTGTGTTTTTCCAGCTGTAGTATAGTAAACAATGATGTTAGGATGGACCGTATGTGATGGTATCTGAAAATAGCTACAGACTACAGAGTGGCATGTTGTACGTTTCCCTCCTACCTTCATCTCTCTGAACTCTGCTACTCTCTTCTCCTCTATTACCCCCTCCTGTCTTCCTCACACTTCTTCACAGCCTCTTTTTTTCCCCCTCTGTCACCTATTCCCTCCCTCAGAGCTCTCTCGACTCCTGCAGAGACATGCTGCGTCATGGAAACGACCAGCTCGGTGTGTGTGCGCGCGTGTGTGTGTGGGGAGGATTGCTGGTGTTAAAGCCACCCTAACAGCACCTCCTGCTGTCCTGCTTGGCAGATCATTATAGGCACTGAAGATTTACAGTGAGGCTGAACGACAGAGACAAGAAAGAGAAAGAGACCAGAAAAATCTGCATACACTCGTCGGCATTTTTCATAATGTGTTTGTGTGCAAGTTTTGGTCAACATTATCTATGGACCTATGGGTTGTTAAGAGGAAGTTGTTCCCAACTTAGGGGTCATGGGGGGGTCACAAGGCCTTCTTGATTTTAAGAGAGATCTCGCACACACTTTTGGGGTCGGTGTGTCTATTGCTAGCTAGCTTACATAACAGTTGGGATATTGCATTTCAGATTTCAAATTTAAAAAATATCTGTTTAATCATCCTTTTATTTTTTATCATCATTGAAGCAATCTGCCAAACATTCAGGGAGTGATTTAGCTAAATAACAAACTTGTAATCTATCTGACAACTGTAAGTTATTTATTAGTTCAAATTGTCAAATGCTCTCCTGCCTCTGAATGTTAGGATGTAAAGATGTAAGGAGTGAAAGACTGGCAAGCCAAAATGTGGGTGCAGGAGAGAAAAAGTGCCTGAGCTAGTGGATCCAAACCCCCCCTTCTCTGTTCTCCTTAAGCCTCGCTGTATTCCCTGCATTGTGCGTATAGATGAGTTTGTGTGTGCGTGTGTTTGTGTGTCAGAGTAAGAAAGACTAAAATGCCACAGACAGACACGCAGTGCTTTGGCAGCACTTTCACAGCCCACAATGATAGAAAAGGAGCCATGAAAATCTCCTAATTATACACACACACACAGAGACACCACAGTGTTGGGAATGAGACAGGAAACAGGATTTCTACTGTAACATGGGTTTATATGTTCATTATTGATGAAGCGACAGAAAGAGTATGTTTGGATTTGGAGTTTATCACTACATACTGTAAATGTCAGTGTGTCAAGTTGTTTCTCTCTCTCTCTCTCTCTCTCTCTCTCTCTCTCTCTCTAAAAGATCTACAGCCGACTCTGTGTTTCTGTTTAGAATTGTGATAAGGGCAAAATAGAAAAACTAACATTTAGAGGTGCTATGTGAGAGATTAACATCAATTTGGAGGTGTTACATTACAGTTTTGATTATATTCATTTTGAGATGTTGGTATAATTAACATAAAACAAACAAGGATATATTTTCCCACCAGGTCAGATTGAGGAAACTGTTACATTGCTTTATAGTACACAAGTGGAATATGCTGTGATTTCAAACAGCTCTGTACTGTTTAGACAGTAGCTGTTTTGATACGTTATGCTGTCATCATATGCGTCCTTTGTTTGTGAGGAGATTTTACAGGTTTTGTCCACCAATCATCTTTGCATTATTTAGCTTGAGAGTCATGCTTAGACTGTTAAACTTTGGAAAAGTCATCCAAATTGAGAAGTTTGTCTTTATAACCTTTAATTAGGATTGTAACTTTATATACGAAATTCACTTGCCGCTAGATGTCGCACTAGAGAACCAGCATCTCCGACCAAGACAATGGGCACTGCGACTGAAAACCGTCTTTGTTAGTCTTTCAACAGTTTATACTTTCCAACAATCACCAGCACTGGTTTGATTGAAATATACCCTTCATTTACACTATGATGTGGAAATAGCTGCGAAATGGGCTGGTATAGCTGGCATGTAACGTTAGCTAATCCTCTGGGACAAATACACCCGTCAAAGTACGTCCCTTGTTGATCTGGCGACACTTGTAGTTACTGGTGCTAACAGTAAGTGTGGTTTCCTACTACAGTTCCCAAAATTCTGAGTGCACCAAAACAAACTTTTGTCATTTCTAAATAAGTCAGGTAGTAATTGACTATTCTCCATAAAGCCATAGTGTGCGGACAGCAGGGCACATGGAATTTAGTTGGTTACCTCGCAGCTCTTCAGCTAACAGCTTACTTACTTCATAGTAAAGCAAACTCAAGTTTCTTTAGTTAAATGCTTTTAATGTGAAGCTGCAGCAGTAAGAAATGTTTGGTTTGCATTAACAGCAACTTAAGACAGATTTTTTTTCTGTTGACAGTGAACTGACTGAGCTAACCCTGTATTTAACAGAATTGTGGGATTTAAGGTTTGGCACAATGGTCTTGCATTGAAAAATGTGCAGCACCCCTCACCTGTGTGCTTTGTCTTTCTCCCCCTTCTCTCCCCTTCATCCCTACCAATTTTTTCCCACGGCTTTTTGCCACCCCTGCTCACTCTCTCCCTCTGTTTCTGCTGTCATGATATCATCCATCTCTTTCTCCCTGCATTCCTCCCTGCTTATGTCCCTTCCCCTTCTTTCAGGTTTGTCAAAGTCCTTCCCATTGGACAACTCTCTGTTCGACAGCTGGCTCGCGCAGTCGGTTCAGATCACCGCTGATGACATGCTGAGCCAGTGGGCCCTGGGTGCCCAACATCGGGACAAGAGCGGCAGCCTGCTCTCCGACCAGGTAGGGCTTTCAGTAGTGGGAGGCCAGCAAAGTGATGCCTCGGCTATTTCTGAGTTGAATGATAACTAATACATACTTTAGAGCTACTTTTGATAATGCAGCAATGGATTGAATTCAATTGTGGATTTTAACTTTTATTGTACCTTCAAAATAAAAGTGATCTGCCAACTGAACCTAATTTTAGCGGCAAACAGCACACAGACCAGACCAGTAAAAGGAGGATTACATTAGACAGAGCTGCAGTTCGGCTCTTGACAGTGAATGGCAGCACACATTGCAAAAGTCAAACAGTCCATCACCTCTTGAACTGAATCCCAGTCCACTTCACTGGTGGACAAGACTTACTGCCAGGAGCCAAATAAGAAACTATCCTGCCTATTGACGTTATTAAAACGGACATCCGAAGTTACATGAAGTTCCTAGTCAAAAAATCTTGACTAGGAGGCAAAAGGGCTAAAATCCAAACTAAATTGATAGAGAGAAAACTGTGTAGGTGGGAAGTAAACTATTTTAAACAAACTGAATAACTGCTATAATCAATTGCAACAGCATTACATTTTTGCATGTTGGTGCACTGAAAATGTTCCATGTTAACATTACTTTTCCACACATAAGCTAAATCAAAGTATTTGCTCAATCTAATGACTTTACCTTGAGACTATCACGTCAGTGTTTACATGTAAAATGGAGCACTGTTGTTATTTTTCTGCATGTGTTCACTCTTGCTCTGATAGCACTTTTAACAAGTAAATTTGTGATTTTTAACTGACTTGAGCTGTAGCACTATGGTTTTAAAACTTGGATGTGTCTACTACAATAACTTTGAATAATTCCGAAGAGTGAAAAAGACTGTTTCCATTTTATTGTAGTACATTATAGTTTCCCACACTGAAAACCATTGAAAGTTCCCACTTTCGTCACACACCCACAGAAAAGACTTAAGCCTCCACACTTGAAACCACCTTTTATTTAGAATTATTTTGCCTCTTTAGATTGAATCTTTATATAAGTGGAGTTTTGAGTTGTGTGTGTGTGTGTGTGTGTTTTGCTCACTTTGCACTGTGGATTGATCAGTTTGATGAAAGAACTGATGGTCAGAGCAGAGCTGCACTGTGGCTGACCTGCTGTTCTCCTCAGGAATGTGCTGTTTGTGTATTGATTGGCAGGGGCCTTCAACCAGTATGCATGATATAACTCCATTGTTTGAGGATTTGTTCAGGAACAAAACAACACATGAACACTGTAATTTTTAATTAAAAAGAATGTTTATATGAAAACCTGATATCCTTAAGAAGGGAGTTTTAAAAAGTAGAATTTTACAATTCAAACAAACAATTCAACAGAAACATGTATGTAACAATGTAAAATGCCATCAGAATATGTTAGCTTTGTCATTCAGAGCTTGAATATCTAATGAACATCTATTTGCTCCAAAGGTGGTGGTGGTGGCTGGGGAGTTTTTGTTGAAACATATTACGGGCAAGAATGTGAGGTTTCAAAACCAGAAACCCAAGTAACAGGAAAACTTATTGCTGTATCGATCGACAAGCAAAATTCCAGATATAACATTTTGTCTAAAATTCCTTTTAATTCTTCCCCTCTCATCGCTCCTCTTTCATCTCCAATTCCTGTCTTTCCTTGTCTCACCTCCTCTCCTGTTCTCCTCTCATTCAGCTCCTGCAAGGCGAGGAAAGCTTGCTAAACCTTATGATGGAGAACTCCATGCAGTCTACCTGGAAAACACCCCAGCTGGGCCGCAAACCGCGAGGGAGCAACAAGCCCCGTGCTCGTGGACACCCGCAATCCACCAGCCCCACCCAGCCCCAGACACTCCTGTCTGCAGCGGCTGCCTCCGCCGCCTGCAGCCCCTCCACTGCAAAGAGCCTTTGGGCGAGTGTCGCGGAGGAAAAGCCCAGCCATGTGGGCCGCAAAGGGGAAAGGTCCAGGGGCGCCTCCAAAGCCCTGCACCACCACCTTCATCACCACCAGACCAGGAGCTCTGACCTGCACAGGGACCCTCCGCCGCAGCCACCGATCTCCAAAATGGATTCTTGTCATATCTCAGAGGACCCCGGCTGGGACAGCATCCACACAGGGAATGGTGTTGCATCAGGGGCTGGATCTGGTTTCACTGCAAGCTCATCTCCACTCCCGGCCTCAAGCCCTGGGGTCACAGTGCCTGACACAGGGGCGATCCTCCGTGGCGGGGCCCCGCGGCTCCGTCTGTCCCGCCAGGGGAAATCCAGAGGGAGGGGCTTCAGTGGAGGTGGAAGCATAACAGGGCTGGAGTCTGTGGACCTACCACTCACAGGAAAGGACACGTCCCTGCTGGACGCTGCCGAGACTGACGGGTACTTCTCTGATGGCGAGCAGAGTGATACGGACACACGCTCTGGCGGACGCAAACTCCGCTTGCCACAGTTGCATTCTGGGAACGAGGACCTGCTGAGAAGGAGCGTGCTGGCGTCCTAAAGCACTGAGACTCCCACTAACACACAAACACACACACACACAGTTATCCAAGCAGAGTCCCGCTGGCTAATTGTTTCTCCATCTGTGCCCAGAATACAGTCTACAAAACATGGCTGTTTGGCTTTGTTCAACCAAATCCCTGTCACATTTACGTGGAAAATCTCTTCAGCTCTTACCTGCTTTGTTTTGGGGTGAATTTGAATGTAGCTGTTTGTCTGTCGTACAGTAAAGCTTCTACACCGGACCGTAGTTTGTCGTTAGCTTACCACAAGATGCGATACGTTCAACAAATAGGAAACAAACATTACCTTTAGTCTTTCTCTTGTTTTGTATTTCAGATTGATTTTGTTTCTGGGTGTTGAAGTACCCATTTCTGGCCTCATTGTGGTATCTGCCAGACTTGGGAACAAACACTTTGGGGCATTATTGTTATTATTCAAGCTGGTTTCAGGGTCTGCTTTGCTCTTGGTCTTTATGGCCTGAGATGCATCCAATGAGTCCTTGTTTTCTTGAATATGTTCAGTGGAAAGACAATTTCACACCAGAGCTGGTCTGAATATGTACAGATGGTGACATGGGACAACATGTATTCAGCCTTGAAAAGCACAACTAGCTAGTCGAAAGAGCTGTAATGTAAGCACTCGTGTGTGTATAATAGATGCTCATCCGGGGTTGGGGTCAATTTTCATCATGTTGACTCAGTTGTAAAATGTACACTAAAACCGCCATTCTCCAATTTATCTGCAAAAAAAAAAAAAAAGACCAAAAAAAAGATTTCCAGCTTCTCCAGTTTTTGAATAGCCAGTTTATTGACCCCAACCCTGGTGTTCATTCAGATTGTCACACAGAGACACAAACACAGACATACTGACACACATACTACTATAAGCAAATCCCTTTTGCTCACATCATAGCCGTTCAAATTATTTGATCTGACTGTTGTCAGCTGCTTTCAAATTCTTCCTAATTCTGAGTTCTTTGGGGTTTTTTTATTTTATTTTTTTTAGTCTGAATGCTTGGAGAAAATTCATCGTAGAAACTCTGTGCCTTCTGTCGCTTGCCCTGCGCCCCTACACCTCCTTAACCCCCCTTGCCCCTCAACCTTATCACTCAACCAAACAATCAGTAAGAAGATCAATCAGTCGTTTTCTCAATCGGATTTGTAACAATCAAACCAAAAGGAAATCCCGTTGGATTGGTTACTGAGTGTGGCCAGCATTGGGCTCCTTGTCACCTTAACAATTTTCTAGTGCCTGAAACAAGGATGTAAATGCAGCATTTGCCATTAATCAACAAAGCATCTGCAACAGATAGCAAAGCAGAGCCACACCATACTATTAGTGCAAAGAGCTGCCTACTGTTATGTGCCCCCCACCAACTAGATCGCTGCAGTCCAGAGCCATCGATAAACAGAGTTTGGCCAGGTTACACTGTGATCACAACAATAGATACACATGGAGAGGAAAAACAGAGGAAATAAAACATAATCCTGCTAGCCAACTGCTTTTTAGATTGGTGGTAAAACAACTTTGTATTGTCAGTGGACAGGTCAGTGGTATGACTTACTAATGCTTCAATATTCAAGTTTCTTGTGTAAAAATTGTCCTAAATTTTGTGCTAAATAACAAATGTGTGCAAACATACAAGAGCCTCCCTGTCACAGACTGTCCTCATTGGACATTTGACAAGAATGTGACAAAATAATTGCTTTCAAAAGCTTTTTGGAACTTTCAACCACAACGCACATGCGTATTGGCTGGCTCAGGTGTCATCGCATGACCAAAGATTGGAAAAACGTGTTTTATGAGCATGTTAGAAATTACCATTACATAACTTGAAGATCACTCAGACCTGACATGTCTCGTTCATATAAAACAATCACTGACTCACTGTGCTTGTTAACATGAGCATCCAGTGTGCAGTGTATTCACATCTTTGGATTATTTCTAGGCAGTGAAGCTGTTAAAAAGCTGTTATTTCTGGTTACTATATGAGGCCACCAGGGTTCACAGTGCACCGTGCAGTTTTCAGGCAACACGCATAAACAGAAATGAGTTAGTTATACTTTATATTACCCATGTGTATCTATGCAATTTATGATATGAGTGTAAGATGCCCAACACTGTTTTATTCTGTTAATCTCTAAGGCAGGTTACACGTTTGACATGGACAGGCTCTGATAACTGATGGCTCTGCTGCACCTGTTCTCCTGTTAGATGAATGATGAAAATGTAATAATCAGCTTCAGAGGCCTGTGCTCTTAAGTTCTCGAATTGAGTTGTTTGTAAATTTGTTTTTTAAAAAGACTTTTTGTTGTTCTCTCAGAGAGTTGTATTTTGTACTTAAAGCAGTCCATGGTATTCTCAGGGGTTAAAAAATCTTTAAAAAAAGAATAAAAGGCTAAAAAATGTATCGAAAAAGCGACGCAAGACATAGATACATATATATATACATACATATTTTATATCGTATACTATATATATATATATATATATATATATACACAAAGTGATGTGTGTATGTCTAGAAACTTCCTTATTTGGCAAGCTTCGCTGTTTGAACTCCTACACGACTACTACTGAGCATGTTCCTTCTCTCAGTATGACCATACAACCATCAGCCCTGGGTTCAATAGTCTCAACCAATAATTAATTAACGCTTATCCTCTTGTTTGAGTTACCAGATGAATAGGACAGGTCAGGTAATATTGGCTTGGTGGTCAACTACAAGGAAATTCTCTCTTTTCATTCTCTCAGCTTTCTTGCAGCTAAGACCTCACCCGTCTGATTCAAAATTAGGGTGAAATAAAGTAACGTAGGTGATTTTAAGGGCTGCTTGACCCAGGCCTGATGAACAGACACTTAAATAGAGGTGCAAGTCCAATCTACTTCCTCTGTTTTTTTTCTGTATGGACAGCTTCTCACCGGTCTTCTGAAGTGACCATGCCAAAGAACAGATCTGTGTATCAAGGCAGCATATTTACATCTTATCTACACAAACACAAATACACATGCTCCGAATCTGGTTTTCAAGATGAAGAATGTTAGATAGGGGAGGTCAGATGACCCTGCCAGCGCTGTCTAGGTCAGCTCAGTTTAATCCAGATCTCAACCTGGTTCGACCCAGCTCCATAGGGTTTAGTCAAATGTGCTGTGGTGTTATGTGACCTCCTCCAATGCAGGGGGCGCTGTTCATTTTACCACCATAAACACAACCTGAAATCTTCTAGATCTGCATTCACAGGGGCTTCACAGAGGAAAAGCCTGTTGCCCACAGTATGGGCTGGTGATGGTTTGTTAAACAGACTCACACATATAAACCCCCTTCAGAAAAAGCCAAATGCTGAACTGAACACACAACATACAGCTCTCTCTCTCTCACACAAACACACACATACACCAGAGCTGGTATAACAGGGTTATAATGTAAAAGATGACTAGTTTTTTATGTATATGTGGTCCTGACTGCATCAGGAAGTATAAGCTTACTCAGAGTGAAATGCCCCCTAACAACAGGAGAGTATTATTACTGGTGACAGCGCAGCATCTCTGTCTCCTTAATCCTTTAGGTGTAGCCATCGTAGAAGATTCACATAATAAGTCCTCCACTCATCTCATTTTCGCCATAGAGAGGCAAAGTCTGGCCAAAACCCTCTTTTAAAAATCAAGGGTTTGTGTGCAAAGTGTTGTCTGAAGGAGCTGCTGATTTTGTAAAGCAGCATATATATATACAGGACAGGTGGAGGAATTTGAACTTCTACGTTGGCTACCGTTATTACAACCCCCATGGAAACTGACCATAACAACACATACGACAATAACTGCAACAAAAGCTTGTGTTTTGAAGTGAGGATGTGGTGAAGTATCAATACAGCCCACAGGATCCTCCACCAGGTGGTTGTAACCATTCATGTGTTGCTAAGACATAAAAATGTAATCTTGGTTTCAATATTCAATGTTCGGAGTAGCCTGACTTTGTAGACAGTGGTATTAGACAAGGCCTCACATTTATGGCCTTAACATGTAGTAGCAAATGCTAAGGCTGCACAGTGCTGGCAGGTGGAAAAAAAAAAGAAATCACTTTTTCTTTTGGCTGAATTTCCTCTACAGAAAGTTGTGGAGGTAGTTAGGTGAGTTGCTGTTTCTCAACCCAAGAATAGCACCGTAGTACCTTGTCAGGCAAATTGCAGTTTAGATGTTTTTTTCTTCTTGATACTGTGCAGCCTTGGTATACACAAACTGGTTATTATTCTATATTTACAGTGTGGCTTCAATGCCCTCTCCTTCCGCTTCGTAGATACTGTAGACTGGACTCTTTTGCAGGTTCTTTTTTATCAATATCCACTAGAATACAACTTCAAAGCATCACTGTCCTCTGTGTGGTACGCTGGTGTGGGTGTTGGCTCACAGCCCAAAACGTGCTCTGATGATCTTTGAATTTTGCAACTCTTGTCAGGTCAGATATATCCGCATGATCCAGATTAGAAATTTTGTTTCTTCTCTGGGTTTAATTTGGTATATCGGTCATGGAATTTAAATTTTTTTAGCCTCAGATTAAATCATCAGTGTTGATATCAGCAGAAGATCTGGTGGAAGTTCTTCTGTGCAAGCTCGCCATTTAGACTGCATGGTTAAGACATTATGTATAATGGATTAATATACAACCATACAGTTTTCTAAGTGGTGAGCATGTGTGAAAGCAAAATCCTCTTCCCCTGGAGTTGGCGTGAATGCTACACCACAGAAATAAGCTGGAGGGCATTGTGTACGTAATGGCAGGTCGGATACACACCTACACACAGCGGTGCATTCCACCTAGACTTCTGCTGAAAAGCTGGTTTAAGGCCAATACTGATTGCTGCAGGCATTTGGAACCTCTCCTATAATTCGCACAGCTGCTGTCTACTGTACCGACACTGTTGTAAAACCCATTGGAAAGACATCACTGCACCAGTAGGGCTGGGTTCCTCAGAACCTCAGCTGAGCAAAGATCATGTTTAAAGCTATTTATTAGCAGGGAGGCAAGTTAGGAATATCCAGCAAAAAAAAACACTTGTAAATTGTGTTGTACAAGCCAAGTTGATTTGAACAGAAGAAAGTGCTGCACCTACTGGATGGAAAAGTTTAATTTCTGAAATTTTAAGACAAAGATGAATTGTTGCCCTGAGGTGGTTTTGAGGAACCAGAAGGACACCGGGATGCTGTTAATAGGATGTCTCTCTTCCTCTGTGGTTGCTCCTTCATCCAATAAGAAAGTGGTTTGAGGCTGTCCTAAGGTCAGTAAAACCAGGGTTGGAAAATGCTCTAGATACTTAAGTGATGATAAATTTAATTTGATGCCTCAGCTTCTCTCGCAGGCCACATTTTTTTCTCCACAAAATGAGCATTTATTTAAACAAGCCTGGGAACACAAAATGCCTGCTAGGCTCAAGTGAAAGCAGTTATTATCTCTGTAACAAAGATGAGGGAGATTACCGACAACATAGCTTGTTGCAGACGTTTTTTAGAATGTATCTAGAACTGAAATCTCGACCAAAGGAAGTGTCGGTGTTTAATGATTTGGTCATGCTGACTGACCCGATGACTGCCTAGTGCTTCCTGTTCCTGATATCATTGTCTAATCCTTGCTTTACTGTCCTACGCCAGCCATACAAACCCACCCACCTACCTACTGGCGTACCATTGGAGTTTATACACATCTACAATAATGTATAATACTGTTCAAATACTACTACTAGAAACATTTTCATTTTCCGTGTTTTGAAAAGCCTTTGGAAGCTGTTTTTTTCTTTTATAACGCTTTAGCTGGCCGCTTTGGCTCGTATCAAACTAGAAAGCTGACTCATTATCTGCTTCCTCTGTTTTTACTGGCGCTTTGCTCTCCTCTCCGTTACAGCAAAGTTATGGCTTCAAGGTTTCAATATCCACAACCCAGACACACTGCACAGATTGGAGGTTTAGTCATACAAACTAAGCTGCTGTGGAGGCAGAAACAAGCTCAGTTGTCAAGTTAAGTCTAAATTGGTGGAGTCAAAGAACCACAGTGATTTGAATCCGAGGGCCTTTTCTCATTCATTCATGATCTTGCGGGGTATAATTGGCAGACCAAGATCAATACAAGCAACAGCAGTGCAGTCAGTCTGAACTTGGAAGGTCAATTAGGCGAACTAGATAAATAAAAGCTTTGCCATATGTGAGAAAATGCCTGGGCTACATCTTGTTTTGACAAATAAAAGCAGATCACTAGAGCTCATAGTCAATCAAGAGAAAACCATTCTGCAGCTGCTTTGAAATACTGCAACTCCAGTATCTCAAATGTGAGGATTTGATGCTGCTCTTTTCATACACGATAGTAAAAAAAAAAAAAAAGCTTTGGGCTTTGGACTATTGAATGGACAAACAATACATTTGAACTTTAAAAAATATTTTCTAGACCAAACTATTAATTGACAATGAAAATAATCAGTAGTTGCAGCCCTACAGATTGAGTAGAGTTTGTATTATTGTATTTTGGGGGGATTTTATACCTTTACTGGATAGCAACAGGGGAGCGATTACAGGAAATGAAAGAAGTACGAGGTGGGGAATGACATTACATTCAACAAAAGTCTCAGGCTGGACATGAAACAGGGATGTTGTGGTTTGTGGTTGGTAACGATACTTCCTAAACCAAATTAAGAAATACATAAATCACATTAAGCCTGCAACCAGACTGCTAAGGTTGTCAATCTGTCATTGTTTTTTCAATTAATCTCTTGGTCTATGAAATGTAAAAAAAAAAAAAAAAAAAGTTTTGAGATATATTATATATACATTCACTTTAAAATTCTGTAAAACACTGGGTAAGCAACTGTAATGATAAATTGATGATATAAATTGTTGGTGAGTTTCTTTACCTCAACTTATTGATTGACCAACTGATTGTCTCACATGACTCACTGCCATCCTGAGAAGTTACACCTTTCTCAACTTTTGAAAGCACTCAGCCAACCAAAAAACACCAAGGAGCGCAGATGTGTATTTTCATGTAAAACTTAACCTGAAGAAGCACACGTCCTAATAGCTCCCCTCATCTATTTCTTACTCTTTGCCTTTCCAGTGGGCTTCAGTCCAACATCCCTTAGCCAGAAACACTCTTTGGCTCCACCCACTGAGGTTCAACACAAACAGTGAGATTACATCTGCCTCCAGAGCAGCTCCAAAAAAAGCAATTTTAAAACTAAAGCTCCCATCTGCACAAACTGCTCACCTTATTCTGCGTCCACCATCCAACATCTTCCTCTTCCCTGCATACTTTCCTCCCTCCCACCACCAGCAAAGTCCCCTCTTATCCTCCAACCTAAATCCCTAACCCCCCTCCCCCATCCTGTTCCTCCTCCCCCTCACCTGTCCGGTGATCAGCCACCTTGGCCGGCACGTGGCTCTATTCAGAAATCGCTTTGGAATCATAGGACGATCAAAAAAAAAGAAGAGAAATAAACATAAAAGAAGAAAAACGGATCTCTGTAGCTTTAAGGACAAATAATGACAGGCACGTGTTGTGTAAGTACGTGTGAGGAGGGGAAAACGTTGCTATGCTCTGGCCTGGAGAGAGAGAGAGCGAGGGAGGAGGAGGAGAAATGAATAGAAAGAAAGAGAGGAGAGGAGGGAGACGTTTACTGAACCGGAGCCAGAGAAGCAGACAGAGAAAGAGTACAACTTGTTCTTTCCCCTGCGTTCTGTTTGCAGCCTGTCCGCACAGTCAAGTTAACAAGCAGCTAATATAAACACCACCAGGCCCTTCCCTTCTCCTTGCCCTCTCGCCTCCTCATCTCTCTCTCTCTCTCTCTCTCTCTCGCTCTCTCTCTCTTTGTCTCTTTATACTTTCTTGGCTCTCTCTCTCTCTCTGTGTACAGCTGGGTTTCCATCCATGTATTTCCTTTACAAACTGTAACAATCGAATCAGGAAAGCAAAACGGGAACTGGTCAAATTTGCATTAAATGGAGTCTGAGTCCGGAAAACAAGTCAGTTTTGTGGCAGATTTTCTTATTGATATATTTTTGGTTAGTTGATGCTTTTATTTGTATTCGTATTAAAGCATCAATTTGGTTACCGATAATGAACAAGTCCTGCAAAAGATAAGACTGCCGATATTCTATATCTTTCTTGCTGTCAAAAAATCCCATAAAAAAACCAAAACCAAAACTGTATTGATTTTACTAACAAGTAGGACCAAGTTGTATCCAAAGCCTGATATATCTTATTACTCTGTAGCACATACCTCCATTATTGTCCAAAAACAGTCACGCTGTTGCATTGACATGTTCCTTCATTACCATGGACACAGCCACTATAGTTAAACTCATTCCCACCTATACCGTCCTGCTGCTGTAAATACCAAATGTGTATTAATCCACAGGTGAAAATAGTCCCTAAGAAATGCACTATTTACTCAATTTTGAGTCACGTTTGCTAAAAAACTTTTTTTTTTAAATGAAATGATATATTTGTGTTTTTTTTAACTAATATTGTATGTAATTTACTTCAGTGGGAACAATTGGTCTTGTGGCTAGTGAATTTTTGTTTTACACAATGCATAAAGTGTCTGCATCATTCAGTCTGTCTCTACCTGCTGGGTTGCTTATGCTAGCTAGCGGCTGTCTGCAGATATCAAGCTGATGTCCGGAAACACAAAGCGGACCTTTCAGCTCTATCTGTACCGAAACTGATTATTAAAGTGGCTGTCTGTTTTATACTTAGTTGAAGCATTTACTACTGACAGTCCAGCTAGCTGTGTGTGTTTTATTATTCTTACTCAACTATCTGGCAACCTAAAAACACACGTTTGGTTTTGGTCTTTTCATTTGATTTGTTAACAGTAAGAAAAATATAGCCAGCAACCAGCTTCATTCTTTAAATGTCACAAACATCCAGGTAAACCATTTTTTGTTTTAGTTTTTTTGGATTCTCTGTTCATAATCACAGTCTGTGGTTATATGTATTTGTACTGAGACATAAGCATACATTTAGTCAGCATCAGCCAACAATCCAGCCTTGAAATTGAATCCATTTTTACACAATTATTGGCCATTTAATTCGAAGCCTGGATGGAAACATGGCCTGAGTCCCTTTTATAGTTCCTCCCTCACAATCTGACCAATTTATTCACCCTCCCTTTACATCTGGTTTTACCATTTGGCTCCTGGGAGGTTCAGACTCTGCTCAGACATATATCACTGCGGACAAATTGAGGTGTAAATGCAACAGAGACACACTGAAGATCAATTTGGCCAAGGCTACCGTCCCTCACTGATGGTCAAAGCAACATTTGGTAACATTAAATTTAAGTTCAGCTGGGAACTATACACAAAGTGTAAATATAACAAAAGGATGCTGGTGGGAATCTGTTTTATGAAGAAAAGAGTGCTTTCAGCGCAGGCACTGGAGACACTTTACTTCCAGGTGTAAATGTAATCTAGATAAATCACGTCTAGACACAATTTGAATTTAAGATGTAGGTTACGACCATTTGTTAAGAGGCCCTCTGTGCTGTATTTCTGTCTCTGCTCTTTCTCCCACTCATCATTTCACCGCTCTGTCTCTGCTTTATTTCTTTCTCCTGGTTTCTGTTATTTTATCCCATTCTACACTGTTCGTCTTCGCTGCTTTTGTAATCTGACTTCTTTTTCTCTTTCACACACACAGAACAAATGTTTATCTTCTTCTGAGGCAAATATGTATTTGTCTCCACTGTCAGATCTTTGATACATGCAGGAAAGGAAATGTCTTTTGATTACATACATTGGGGAAAATGCAGTCCTTTATTCTGATAATACAGCTTGTGTGTGTGTGTGTGGTTGCAGAAGGCATGGGAATATAGTTTGTGTGTGCACATGGTGAGGAAGAGACTCTGGGTTGAATCTAGTTTACACTGTCCTGCAGGTCAGCTGTTCTCCAGTGAGGTGACCGATCTTTTGCTCCAGTCTCCCTTTGTTACCTCCTTTTTTCCCTCCTCATCCTCCTCTTCTCATTTGGAGGGATTAAGCTACATCCACGTTTTTAAAAACATTTATTTATGTATTAAAATAGTGCAAGTCTACCAACCATTTCCATGACATATATACGTTAAAATCTCCGTCCACACTTAAAATCCTGATAGGAAAAACAGCTAAATCCCTTCTTCTTTGTCCCATTTACTCTGCTAGTCCCCCCTGCTCTCTGTGACCACCTCTTGTGTGTTTTAATACAGCCAAATTCTCACCTTAGTTGTTCTCATTAAACATATAAAAATACACCCTTTTAGTTAGTTAGCTATTTCTAATTGAGACTATGTGTCATCTGTGATAATGGGCTATATAAATAAAATGTAGTTTCCATACATGCTTTTAAGTAACCAGCTTACAGTTGGCTTTCTCCAGAAAACCAATTACAGAAATTTTCCCAGTTACATTTCTCATGGAGGAAGACAGTTTGAAGGACATGTAGACGCATAACCGGTTTTCTATTCAGATTTTCACATACATGATTACTGACTGTGTACTGTATGTATATACACTGCATATAACATTTGATTTCCTGCCTCTTATTTCTTTGAGTAACATTTCTTGAGATTCTTGAGTGCATGTAAACTCATTGACTTGACTCATCAACCCTATTTATATCAGTGAGTGGACTAAATATTAGAATCACATCTCAGTATAACACAATACTGTTAAACAGAAAATAATATACAACCTTCATAATGAACATAAAATTGAATTAATGCCCCTTGAAAAGTTTAAATAAAATCTAAAAATTATAATCTTTATGAAGGTAGAATTTATTTCAGGACTTTTGTATTAGACCATTAGTTTTAGTCACTGTAGTAGTGTATTTTCTGTTTCAGTTCAGAAAATAGCGATCACAGGTCATAAAGTAACGTCAGTGTTATGCAGTAACTTGTGCGCTGCTATGCAGATGATCACAACGTTATCTGACAAAATCTGCACGAATACAGCTTGATGACATTAGGTTTATAGTATATATTCACATGATGAGTGATCACAGAGAGGGTTAGAGGCAACATAAAAAGTTCTTAACTTTACTGCCACACAGTCCCTGACCGGGCTTATGTCTTTGTTTTCCAAAAGCTCAGTTTTACCTTATCTACAGTGTAACGCAAAGGCTTGCGTTTATCCACTCTGGTGATTGCTTTCAAAAAAAGTTTCATTTTCAATTTAGAAAAATCTAGTGTGGACGAAGAGCCAACACGGATTCCTATGGATGTTAACATTTCTCTCTCTCTCCTCCCTATTCATAGTCAGCCTCTCTTTGGCTTACTTGCTCTCTTTAACTTTGTGTTGCTTTCTGTCTCCCACTCAGCTCATGTCTCTCACACACTCCTTCTCCTCCCTTCTTTCTTTGTATCTCTCCACAGTGGCAGGCAGTTTCTGACTCATTAATAAGAAAAAAAATCTCGCTCCTCTCTCGACCTGCGATTCACAAAGTTTTCTCCCTCAGGTTCAAAATACATTATGAAACAAGAATTCAGTGAAGGTTTGGTTTGCAAAATTTCAGCAACTTTTTGTTAGAAACATCTCAGTACTTTATACTTATAAGCACTTATGAATATCCAATTTTATGTTAATCTGTTATTTTAAGCACTTAGTATGTCCTACTTTGTTGGAATAAGGGTAACTGATTAAGCTGCTTCTTGTTTGAACAGTTTCTCTCCCTTCTCTCTCTCCTCTCTCATGACATTTTTAAACATTATTGGGTATCATTCTGCAACATGAGATTGTTTTGCATCATATTGGTCATACTTAGCCACTATTGAATACTAATCAGCATCGTCCATTCAAAGCAGAGCTGGACACAGGCTTTTTCTCCTACTCCTCCTCCTCCTCCTGTCTTATTTGTCCTTATAAAAAGGTTAAAATCTCTGCTGTCGTGTCCAGTTTCTCCTCCACTCTGCATCGGTTCTTCAATACAATAATATGAATGTTGCAGGAGTTTATCCTTCTGTATTCTTTGTTTCAAAGAATGTTGTGCCATTTGTTAATAGCAAAGAGAACTATTGAACATATATGAAAAAGAAGAGCTATTTTAAATTATTTTTTGGCTTTTTTTGCTATATTTATTTTCTTGTATTAGAATCTTCTTTGTAGGAGGGAAAAATCAAAAAATGTATTTTTCATTAGTGCGAAAAACCTATTTTCTTCCTTTTTGTACAATTTCGATGTTTTAAGCGAGACTTTGAAAAGCAATATGATGTCAAGCCTGTTCTGCCCGCCCCCCGGCAGCCCCCTCAACTGCCCATCCCATCGTGATGTGGATCCCAGTGTCCACTGGACCCGAGGTCCCAACATCATCCGTCCATGCACACCCCCTCAAACTCCCATCCTCATCTGATGGAGTCCCAGTCCCACCTGATCCAGTCCAGACCAATCCAGTCCAGTCCAGTGCAGTCAATAAAGCAGTGCTTTCTGTGTACACAAAACTCTTTGCCTCTCTGTTCATCACACTGAGGTCTTGTCTGTCTGATTTACAAAGAAAAAAAGTCTCTTAAAAGGTCCTGTGTGTAGGATTTAGTGGCATCTAGCGGTGTAGTTGAAGACTACAACTCATTTGCATCAAAAATGCTAATGGCTCTGTCTAAAGTTTGTCCATTCTGGGCTACTGTAGAAAGTAACACAGGTCGCCTTCCGTCTGTAATTATAAATGGCTCATTCTAAGGTAATGAAAACGATTCTTATTTTCAGGTGATTAAATACTAGTGAAAACATACCTATGAATATTATATTCAATTTTTGCCATTTCTTCTTTAGATTCTCCAAAAAAATGCTCCTCTTAGCCCAGGATTAAAACATACTGTATATTCATAAATATATCAATTATCTTTATGACAAACCCTTTTTGTACATTTTTAGAATATTTTTGGTTCAGCAGAAAAATGTTTAAGGCTTGAAAGTTGGTTTCAATTATCTTTTCTTGGTGCCTTCAAAGTATTTCTTTACTTTGATGTTGTAGTGTAATTTAAAATGAATACATATACCGCTAGAGGTAAGGGACAAAAAAGTTTTTTATAATTCAACTGACCCATGAATGTCCTTCCGACATTTAAAGCACTGGACAAAATAGTTACTAGTTGCAGTCTGATTACCAATTAATCTGCAGATTATTTCTTGGTTAACTAAATTACTGTTTGGTCTATAATGTATAATAAAATAGGGCTAAAATGTCCGAGGTGACATCTTCAAGTAGCTGATTTTGTCCAACCAACAGTCTATAACCCAAACATATTCAATTTACTGTCACAGAGGACTAAGAAAACCAGTAAGTTTTTCTGTATCAACAGATTGACATTGAAATCACTATAAATAAACTGTAATAGTTTAGGTCTAGGAAAGAGAATTAAATTAAGGTTTTTGGAGTCAACAGCCGATTACAAAGAGACAGAGGAACAAAAGTTTTAATCTCAAGGGTTAGGGTTAGGGTTTTGTCAGAGTGGAACCTCAAGACCACTCCAGTGTTCTTCAATCATGATAGAACAACTTGCCAGGACAGAAACCGTCAGCAGAGGCCTTCAAATAAATTCAATAGTGAGCGTCTCTTGAAAAACACTGCATGGCAGCAGCCTGGAGTTTGTCAAAAGACCTGTAAAAGACTGGGAGCATGACGCAAAAGATTCTGCAGTCTGATGAAACAAAATTCAAAATGCTTCAGCTGATGAAAACTGTTGTGTCTGCTGGAACTGGGCAGAGCTTATCAACCCTCTAACACCATCCATACCTCGAAGCACGATGGTGCAGCTTCAGACTTGGCCAGAGAGGACAGGGAGCGTTTGCCAGAGGAACAATGCAGGGATCCAAACACAGGCAAATCTCGAGGAGAGCAGGTTTCTTAGTGCCAAAGGCCTGAGAGTCAGGCCAACACATTTTTACTCCAACAGGACTCAAACATGCTGCCAAGTCAATGTTGGAGTGGCTTCACAACAAAAATGTGAAAGTCCTTCAGCAGCCTCTAAACCCAGATTTGAATCCCAGAGAAAATCTGTGGAATGACTTGAAGATTGAGTCCTATCAGCAAAATCCAAATGTGCCGAGCTGATGCAGATGTTTCCAAGAAACAGTTAAATACTGTGTGTGTCATCTCACACTTGAATAACTTTTACTTCTTTTTATTATTAACACTGGATCAAGTTACTATGTGTGATGTGAAAGAGGTATATTGTAGTGACAGACCCACAGATAATTATTACCCAACTCTGCTCTATGGAGTGTTTTAGCATCCAAAGTTTGGGTCTAGTTGTCATGGGTAAAAAAACTAATTTGTGGCCATAAATTAATAATTATTGTTCTTCATTTAAAGGTTCACTGTGTAGGATTTATTGACATCTATTGGTGAAGTGGCAGATTGCAACCAACTGAATACTGCTCGCCTTCCAAGTGCGTAGGAGAAACTAAGGTGGGTGCAAAAAATGCTCTAGCCCTGTTCTGGGCTACCATAGAAACATGGCAGTTCAACATGGCAGACTACGTAGAAGAGGACCCGCGCTCTCTGTCAATAACAGCAGCTCATTCAAAGGTAACAAAAACATGACAAACAT